AAATAATTTTATAAAGGCAAGCAATGAAATAGATTAGCGTAATTAGGGCACCTGATGATGGCACTATGTTGCCGAAACATGTCGTGAAGTATCAGGTGAAATTGAGTGCACTACAAGACGGCAACTGTATACATATCATGGATGAAAATCAGTGCAACAGGACGTTAAAATATAACATATTTTGGAATAACCAGCATAAGGAGGAAAAGTATTTGTGCTCAAGAAGCAGTCATTTAAGTATATAAATCATATGACACTGGTTCTATATACAATAAAGGACCTGTACAGAACTATTAGGCTTATTTTGGACTCTATCCATCGTCTGGTATATAGAAGACAAAATCACAACAATTTGGAGACTGGATCTGTCTCCGTCCTAAGGTGGATGGGGCAGGATAAAACTACTCCTACCCCATTCACCTGAGGACAGAGACAGATCCAGTCTCCAAAATGTTGTGGTTTTTGTCTTCTATATACCAGATGATGGATAAGAGTCCAAAATAAGTCTAATAGTTCTGTACAGCATACACCATCATCAGAATCCTTTCAAATCAATAAAGGACGTGTGATGATATGGCTCTCAATAACATAAAGCCATGCCATTAGTACACAAGCTGAAAGATTTGTTATTATAACCAGTATGATAACATCAGTATCAAACAACAGAGAAAAGAGCAACCACAGATAAAGGAGTTTACGATACAAAGCCAGTTTATTTCAACCTCTTCAGCATGCACTTAGTAAGATACCTTCCCCCAAACACATCATAGATTTTGTGTAGAGCACAAAACATACCACAGTACAAAGTACACTAAGTTAATTTACCTAACTCATCACTGAAACTGGGTTTCTTGAAGTCAAACTAATTTAACAGAAATATATGAATATATCTGCGTAGCAAATATTCATATTAATTTTTCCAGTACAGCTACCAACATGTCAGTAATTAATGTAACCATATAAGACACATAAGCAAGCTTTCACCATAATGTAAATATATACACATCTGCCACCATCTCAAACTGTAAACAAACCATAGGGCAGAAATTGAAGAGGGCTGCCCACTACAAACTGCTCAATATAATGAAAACAAGTGGGTCAGGCAGAACACACCCAGATTAAAGTTCTGTACAAAACAAAACTTTAAGGTTTACACTGTTACAAATCTGATATTATATGTATAAATAATTTCATACCAAAATCTCAGATATATCTATGGCCTCCTGTTAAATTACACTTCACATACAATTGGCTATCACCGCCGAATCGAATAATACTAAGCACACCTGCCATATTATATTCCAACTTACACAGAAATAATGTCAGCAGAGGTGCATATTGGGGGACACGTGGTGGTGTAGTTGGTTTAGGGACTATGCTACAAGCTGGAAGGTTGCAGGATCGAATCCCGATGATGTCATTGGATTTTTTCAATTTACCTAATCCTTCCAGCCGCACCATGGCCTTGGATCGACTCAGCATCTAACAGAAACGAGTACTAGGAATATTCTTGGGGGTAAAGGGCGGCTGGTGAGTAGGGGTGACCTTACTGCCATTTATGAGCCGACTGTCTCTAACATGTGGGAACCTCAACATCTCACAACCCTAATGGCCTCCAAGGCCTGTTATAGGGATACCTTCACTTTTTTACTTTACTTTTAGAGATGCATATTAGTAAAGAGTTTTAGCAGAGCACACATAATCAAAATGGCTGATACCACTTCAAAAGATATCACAGCCACCATGTTAGAAATGCTGGAGAGAGAGATTTTGAAAAGAGTATACTGAGAGGGAGACTGGCATGTGCTTTTACTTATTTTACATCTGGGATCAACAGTTCCTTTTAACCCAGTATGTGAACACTTAAATGGCCTGCTCTTCCACATGAAGCAACCATTTAAACATGCACTATGGCTACCATTAGCCTCTACTTGCTTGAACACTGAAGGAAATAACCAAAAAATCCATGGCCTGTAGTCCGCAAGTGAACTATACCGATCGCCTCTGTGGTCTAGTGGTCAGAGTTTCTGGCTACAGATCCAGAAGTCCGGGTTCGATTCCCGGAGCTACCAGATTTTCTGAGAAGTAATGGGTCTGGAACGGGGTCCACTCAGCCTCGTGAGGATAAATGAGCTGCTATTTCAAGGAAATAGTGGCTCTGGTCTAGAAAACTGAAATTAACGGCTGTGGGGATTTGTTGCGCTGAACACACGACACCCTCTATCCACTAAATTTGGCACTAACTTCACCAACAAGCGGCAGTCAGTCAGTATATTGAAGGAAATAAATAAAAAAAATGCTTTAGTACTAAACAAGTGCTACATCTGAGATTATACAGAAATGTACCTCCTTGCCATCTAAAGTGAAAATGTCAGGGAAAAGTGAAAACTGTTATGGGTTAGAGTGTACTTCCAAGAAGGAACCACCATCCAACATTTCCACACAGTGGGTTAATCACATGCTTCAGACAGAAAGAACCATCTCCTTACACCAGATATTCAGTAGCAAATAACAAAAATAATATGCCGTAAACACAGACCGCTTACATGTCACATATACATTTAAACCTTTCTGCATTAAGTATTAAAAACACGAGCACAAAAAAGCAATCAAAACAATGATACTGTGAAAGAAGTTTAACAAAGAAGCAATTAAAATGAAACTGAGCACAGCAAAATTAAATTCAACAGCAAAACATCGAACCAAGGAAAAACTCTGGAGTCATGTATAAAATTCAGTCAAGCTTCAGTAAAGCAAACATGTTAACCCTTCGATGAGTAATCTAGCACATTTTCTGTACAACAGAGTATGCAATGTGCACTTACACTTGGTTAATTCCAGGAAGTTCCCACATTATGTCATTTTTGGTTATTTACTGAGATTAATTTTAGATTGTATAATATTTTGATTTTTTCGGATGAGACAAATAAAACAAAGTTGGCCGTCAATAACAACTGTTCCTGATGTAACCATGGGAATGGAAACATAAGGAAATCTCATTTTAAAAAGTTGTAAATTCACATGCGAAGAAGGAGAAGATTCTGATGAATTTGGTTATTCGCTGGGTGAAATTGAAATACATCGGATTTGAGGTTCTCACCGCAACTATTACCTTCTGGAATGTAACACTGTGTAATCTAGTAAAAGTCCATTGACATTTTGGAGGAACACACTGCTTCCATCTTCAGGGTTGAAGGGTATGTAAAGTATGAAACAAGGAAGAAGCTCGCTACCTGCTTCATGCTGGTTTCCTGCTTGGCTTACATTTCGACTCTGAAGACAGAGATAGCACGTCCCTCCAAAACATTGGACATCTACCGGACATTACATTTGAGAAAAAGAGTACTCTAGAATTTCATCGTGTTTCTAGGCAAGAAATCTCACTTCAGTTTGGAAAATGGCAAGAATAATCACAAACCAAAGGGTTAACTTCAAATCTGTTACAAATTATAACCAACCATACACATTCTCTACATGTTCAGTTTATTAAAGCTCAACTCATATCACATTTCTCGGATATTTCTACCTGTAGCAACCCTGTTTTACCTTCAGTGAATGAGATGATTATCAAACATTCGCTTGCTCCATGCACATTAACCACAGATGCGGCAGTATTAAGGCAGATATTTTCAATCCCATTTCTCAACATGTCATTTTATTTTACTTTTTTGTTTCATTCTGGTCCGTCACACTAACAATATCAAAAGAAGTTAAACACTTCCACCCAGTGTGACTAGTACAGATTTTTCTTATTTCAATCCTTCATCCCTTACAGATTTTATATCCATTGTTCAACATTATATGTATATATTTTAACATTCAAAACATATCGTAATAGTGGCTTCTGATCGTACTGATGTCCCTCTGAGGATGGTCTGCAAAGACCGAAACATGTTAAGGGATGAAGGATTGAAATAAGAAAAATCTTTACTAGTCACACTGGACTGACCTGTTTAACCTCTTCTGATGTCATTTTAACATTAAACTTCCATCTCTATTCAGCCTTCTGTGGGGTGTGCATCCCTTCAGTGCCCTCATGTGTGCTACATGTCAAGAACATTTTATCTTTGCTGATTTCATCACAACTGTGAATGTCAAATGAACAGAAGAACTTCTTAATATCTCATAATGTAACTGTCTCCACTCTCTTATTTCGTCATCCCCTATGCACTTATATCTTCTCTTCATTACTTTGCTCTTGAATGAAGTCACATTATTTTGAAGCCAATATTTGTCATCAAACAGAAGTCAGCTCTTTTCTGAAGTTCAATACATAAAAGTAAAGCAGGGTCAGCATTAAATCCTTAAAATAGTGATAAATGATATACACTAACTCCTATAAAATAAAGCAAAAACAAAGCAAAGTGAAATCACCATGTTCATTTTGCCAACCTGCAGCAGCGAGCTGGGCTGTCACCTCATCGCCCATTGCCGCCGCCATAAGGTCTCCTCCATCATCAAATTGGGCTGACCCTGGCGAGGAAGGGCACCCATCATCATCATCTGACACCATGTGATTTATTGAGGAGCTACTTGTGCCAACTGCAATCGCCAGTGAATCGCCACCAGACGTATTCATTATAGTGACCATTAGTGCCTATGGAGGAAATTTGAAAACACAGCATAACACTTACTTTTTCATAAAATTGGTGCTAAATTTTTTCACAACAGGAAATGTGTCAACCAGTTCCAAGTATTTACTGCTTCCACAACACTCAATAAAATTCATAGTTAAATTAACACAACATAAATAAACATGCACTACAAAACAGGACATTGTTCCACATATTTTCAGCAATGACCAGTATAAACGTACACAATCCATGAATTGTAACAATACCTACAAATCACATTTATACCTTGAATAAGTCTGGCTTCAGTACTCTAAATATCCATTTCAGTGATTGTGTCTAAGTCTTGGATCTATGAATTTTAAGAATAAACTGTTGCTGTAAAATTCTTGATGATGTGTGTACCTGAAACAATAGTAAATTCCTAAATTCTTATTGGTACCTGTAAAAATAATTACATTCAATTTAAATAAAAATTAAATTACTTGCTTTAAGACAAATGGGGACAGTAAACAGTTTATTGTCAAGACTAAAGTACACTTATCTCAATGCACTAAGGAACCACAAAATTGTGTTCTCTGCACTTTAAGACATTATTACAAAGGCATTTTTTTTGTATAGCTGATTATAAGTGTTAATAAACATTATAAAAATTTAATTCTGCAATGGTAAATTTGATCTCATGGAAAACTGTATTAAAGAATTTAGAATAAAAATTGCTCAAAGTTTTTCCTCTCTCAAATGTTCTCTCAGTCAAAAAGTAACCAAAAATCAACAAAACTAAATATGATATCATTACTGTATCCTCAAAAATGCAAGCAATGGATGGTGGCTGCTGTAATTATGTTCCAGGGGTATGACAATACTTTATAAGGGCACTGTATTTTCAAATTAATTTGACAAAATTTAAATTAATTTTACGTTAAGTATTGCATATGATTAATGGCATTTCAGGCACGTTTTACATTGCTTCATCATCCACCTGATAAAATGCATTTTACATGTATTGACCGATATCTCCTTGTATGATGTCATTCAGAAAATCAATAATTTGGAAACCACCCACTAGCAAGGAACTATGGGATCAGTGCAACCTGCATATCTTAATAAATGCACTTACCCTCTCGGGTATTAATACGTTAAATTGAGACATCATCCTAATTTAAAATCACACAAATTATTACGCTTTCGTGGCTAGAAAACTGTATCACTTTAAATATTATTGGGGATGAACTGGTCTGCATTAGAGGGTGCACAGGCCTAAGGACTTTGAAATATGGCCACCCTAAATATCCAGAACAAATTTAAGCCAATGCCAAACATGATCTAACATTGCACAGGCTTATATGACGGTTGCGTGTCGACTGGTGAATAAATAACGCTGCGGTTTAAGAAAAATACGAAAAGTAATCGGCGGCAGCAAGAAAAGCGCGGTACAACACTGAGCAGGCCCAGTTAAAATTCAGAGACTACGGCTGCGTACGCACCTGCGTGAAAGGAGGGCCATTTCAACACGAAAACATGTCTCTGATTGTTGTTCCACAAGAATCGTGACCACTGCCGACACTTTGGACATCTATTTAACCTTAGAACTGTTCAACGACAACACCATGTTAGGAAAACACTTCTAGCTAAAAAATCCTGCCGACATCTATGAATATCGATCGAATCCTTACTTTCCGAGGAAATGCACAACAAAATATTCGCGGTCGCCATTTTGCCCGAGTCTGCGCGGAAGATACTTTAGCAGACGATGCAAAATTCCTGTGTACATAGTTTGCTGTAAAAGTATTCGTGTAACAAAATGCATACTTCAACATAATAACTAATACAAACCGCATACTAATAGATACTTATCCTTACCTTGAAACCACACCAGTGAACATTTACTGACTCATCGATTCATCTCCTTCATGTCTATAAAAAAATGTCGCTTTGTGATTGGTGAGAAGATGACCGCTCCTGACATCTAGTAACAAAATAAAGTACTTTTTTCAATCAGGTTACCAGTGTAAAGACGTGGGGCAGTGGTAAAATTGAAATATATTACATCAGGAAACACAGTTATCATAAGTTAACAGTTTATATTGTATCTTGGTTGTGACAGGATGAGCTGCCACTTAACTGTACTGAAAAATAACAGCACAGGTATATGCACGAAACAGTTTTACATGTCACAATGATATGTAGGTAACTGTGTATGTTCAACTGTGTGATTACTGTTGGCAAAACAATATCTGAAGAATGTTATCCTTGAAGACAAAGAATAGTGCTTCAGCCCTTAAAACAGCATGACTTCAGCAATTTGATTCTTTATAAAACTTCTTTGTTCCTTTTAGTATTAAACTCATAAGGCTTATAGAACTTAATAAGACAGCAGTACTATCAAGCATCTTCATTTTATACTAAGTATTTTTACATACTAAACACTTAAGGAAGATGATTAGCATAAAATTAAACGAAAATCTCTTTGATCTGCCAGAGTGGACTTTTAAGTATGTAGCTATATTAACAATCATTGATGTCTGTTGAAAATATTAAGATTACCTTCCTGTGGAATGTTATGGCAATTATTTTAGCAGATAGGCACCACTATTATTTCAAAGTGCACCTAAAGGTCTGCATATAAGCATTTTAAAGCCATGACACGATAATACAATCAGCAGTGAGCATTTTATATTTTTTTTTCCCCCCCCTGAAGGACTCATGTATGTATGTGTTCAGTGTCCTGTATTTTTACTCGCTTTGTTGGAGCTTCTGGTAGATGTATTTGCTCTGCTATACATATCATAGACCAATCCTCATTAGTTGTTCATCCTGTGATATTAACATTAAAAATGCTGATATGATTGCTTTGTGGCCCATCTAGCCTCATATACACATAGTATCATCATGGGCTTTTCCCAGATGAAGTGACCAGGATATGAAGCTGAACACTCCCATGTAGTGGTAAGGTTAGAAATGCGCTAAAATCTTTATGGGGGAACAGCCATGTCAGTTTTTATTTGAAAACAAACAGTTCAGACATCTCCATCATAGTCAAAGGTGAATGACCACACCATTCATATATACAGTTTTGTCAAATAGGTTCTACATGTTATTGGCATACTGTGCAGCAGGGAAGGAGAGACAAATTGTGCAGTCAGCCAGCTAGCCGTAACCTATCACCATTTGGTTTAACCTAGTTCATTGACATGAGATTAGAATTCTTGTGCAAAGTTATTCACATATTCATTTTTTTTCATAAGTTCAAATTTGGGGACATCAAAATGTTGTCTAAGCTCAATCTCAAAACTATTTTTTTTTTCATATATATATATATATATGATTTTGGGGGACATAACTACACTAATGAAGTCCCAAATGCAGTAAATTCCAGTATCCATGCATTTGAAATTTTCAGATTTCAAAGAAAAATTTCCCATATAAAGACTGAGGTTCTCACATCAGTGGTTATGAAGAATTCTATCTTCTAGGATATAGGTCTCCCAGTATCCAGTAGCCACCAAACTCACTTATGCAGGTGGCATTATAGAGGCTAGTTAAATTTGTGATCATATTACATTATACATATATGAAATCTTTCATAAAAACTTGTTTTAACTTTGTATAGGGTTTCTGTAATAGTTTTTCACACGCAACCAGCAAACCCCATTCCCCACATAGGCTGCATTCCGGGGAGTTTACTAGCATGGCAGCAATATATACAGTATTTATATCTAAGCAATACCAAATGTCACAGTCAGTTTATTGGCACTCTTCAGGTCCCATGTTGGAGTCAGGGTAGCTCAGTTGATATAGTGATCGGCTACAGCTTGGATGGCCTGTGTTCAATTCCCAGCAATGCAAGATTTTTCTCTTCTTTACAGTATCCAGACTGACTCTGGGGCCCACCCAGCCTCACATTCAATAGGTACTGGGGGCTCTTTCCATGGGGGTACAGTGGCAGGGTCATAATGCTGACCACTCACCTCCATCTAGTTCTGAGGTCAAGAATATGTTCAAAATATGTCTTCATGGCATAACGCTTAACTAATTAAGCACAGGAATAACTTTGCCATTCACTTTATCTCAGGCCCCAGGTTTGAAACAAGATTAGGAGCTGCATATCCTGACTTAACTTTTTTGTAGTTTTCCTCAGTCCCAGAAGGCAACTCCTGGGATAGTTCAGGCCATGAGCGCTGTCCTCTCCACTTCATTAATTCTATCATTTTACACTATATAAGCTAAGCTACTGACATGGTTGTTATATAAACCATAAATAAATGTAAGTGAAGTTTCTGCATGCTTTAATTTTACACAAATATAGATATCCTGTTATTATAGTCTTTGCTTGTTTTCAGTAAATGCAATGAATACAATCCATTATAAAAATACATCAACACTTCATGTCAGTAGAAGTAGTAGACCCTTGATATAAAGAGAGTGTTGGGGTTGAGTTTAAGTACCCACATTATATATGATGATAACAGTTTGCTAATTTTGGAATCCCTGTTATTATATGTACAGTATTTATGTAATGACTAAAATACCAACCTCTTCAATAACTCAGTGAGATTTTCAACCAACTACACTGCTGTATGGCTCAATGTGTAATTTGCTAAATTTATTTTAGGTGTCCTCTAATGAATACTTGCAAAATCTGTCCAGAGTTGAGATGTATTATCTGCCCACATGGCCAGAGTTTTTAAAAAAAAGTGATTATGATAAATGAGGGACAGAATATGCCTTGACAGATCTGAGGTTCTCATGGTAGTATGAAGATTATGGCATGGACTGTGATGCTGTGTAGTACAGACTACATGGTGTTACAACCCAGAAGACTACCCTTGACAATCACAGCTGTGAGAACCTCTGGTCCAACTGAGTGTCAATATTATAGTCCTCTGGAATATGACACTGTAATGTTGTAGATTTTGTATCAACATGCCCCCCCTCCATCTCCTTGAAGATGAAGTTAACAGATTCCTCCAGCATGTTTGTATCCATCTACCAAATTCCATGGTGTCACATCTCAGAAAGCCATAATCTTGGAAGTTACATTATCACATAACTGGCTCAGACAACATGGCACATAAGACATTTAGTTCACACTGTGAATATTTTCAGTAAAGCTATAAATACTTGGGGATAGATGGAAGACATGTCTCTTGTCTAATCAAAACTGAAAATAGCTTATTTTGGTACAGATTGCTGGCATCTTAGATTTGAAGTTATTGGCAACTGTTTGCTTAAAATTTCTGTTTTGTATTTGGGAAAGAAAAATGATATGGATACTCTTTCACCCTGAAGGAGGCAGAATTCCTCCAAGATGTCAGTAAACTTCTACCAGACTACACAGCATCACGCTCCAGGTGACAGTACTCTTCGTGAGGTATAACTGATATACACAACAGTTCAGGAGAAGCCTGTGCTACCATCTCAATTGATTAGTTGTCGGAGGTACTGGCAGATAGAATTCGCATCTTTTTTTTAGTGGCATTGTCTATTCACTTATGATTCACTCATATGCAATACAGGAAACACATGTCTATCTTTTGTGGGAAGACAGAATATATAAAAAATTGAACTAATATGTTCATGGTCATTTATATTCGGTTAGAAATCTTGTCTTACTGAAAATACTAGCCTTAGGTATGCAGTACTAACACACACACACACACACACAGAAAAGATCTTGCTTTATATTATATTGGAAGAATTAAACTAAATATGTAATGATTTTGCAACATTTTCAGGTGTGTCTTACTGAATCATTTGACCATATGTCCTGTGAGAATATATTTAGACGATTATGCCTTTTCATGTCAGTTTTAGTTGTGATTTGAAATAATTAAAATTGTACCATTCCTACAAGAACGACAACCAAAAGTGACTTTGTCTTGTTTGCACTTGATCAAGGAACTGTTTATATTCGATCAGTGGTGCCAAAATCAATCTGTCTGAATCCGTAAATCAACACAATATAGTATAAACGTTTTTGTTTGGGTTACATCATAGAGTTCACATCACACATGTATTCATACATCCTATTACATATCATATGTCTGTATTTTGCTATGTAGTAGGTGCATTTTCCTCAAATGGAAGTAATTGGTTAGTTGGATTTTCTTGGAAAATGAAGAAAAAAAAAGAGACATATACTTTGATCAGTCTGCATATAATGCTGTTTAATGGAAGTTAGCTTCAGAGCGTGACCTTCTAACGACGAACTCTGCTTCTGTTGCGCATCTGTGGGGCTTCTGAAAAAGAAGAAAACCGCAGTGAACCAAAGTGAAGGCAATAAGAATATTTATAAGTAAATGACAAATGAGACTAAACAAACTCAGTATACAAGAGGGTTAATCAGACACAAAACTGGAGCTTCAATGATGAAGAATTTTTGTTATTTTTAGATCACACCTGCATAGATAATTCATAACTGTGTTCCTACTGCCTATGATCTTGTTCACCCAATAAAGATATGCTAAGATTCTAATGTTCCGTATTCCGTATTGAGGGGGTGGGTTTCCCCATGCACTTAGACCGGTTACTGGTCCATTGTGCGTCCCCCTTTAATTTCTACTGTCTCCATACCCTACCGGTACTGGTGCTTACTATGAGCCCCTTTCTGCCAGCGAGGTTCCAACCTCTTACTGGTAGTGGTATCTAATAGTTAGTCCCTTTCTGTCAGTGAGGTCGTCCCTCCTCTGGCAGGGGTTACTAGTCCCTTTCTGCCAGCAAGGTTTCTACCCTCTACTTGGCAGTGGTATCTAATACTTTAGTCCCTTTCTATCAGAGAGGTCCCCCCTCCTCTGGCAGTGGTACCTGATACTTCCCCCATCTATCGGAGGAATTGCGAACTAGTTTGGCAGGAAACTTGGCCTAATTTTGCTCAGAGGTCTCCTAGAGACATGAGGTTCTTTTACGTGCCGTAAATCTACGACACGGGACCCACGGCTTAAAGTCCCTCCCGGAGGACTTGTTCCCTGAATTTTTCCGCCCTTAAAAATTCCACGACCTCCGCCGGGTTTTTGAACCCGCGTACCTTGAGTCATGAGGTGGGAACGTTACCCCTAGACTACGGAGGCCGCTAAGATTCTAATGTTAGTACTGGGAAAATCTGCCAGAACTTAATATGATACTCTTTTTTCCTGGCGTGCAGGCAGCCTGTATGAATCTGAGAACACACCTTTATCCGGTTGCCAAGGTTAAGAATGATGGAACTTTACCTCTATGCTTCTTTTATGTCTTAGCCACAAAGACGGATTTATAATTAGTTTCCAGCCACTTACTTTGATGACATAATTTTCCGTACCAGCCTGGATCACAGACACACGTGTTGTCAGGCCTGCATGTTCCATGCCGGCAGGGTTTTGTACATGTACTTCTTGCAGGTACATGGCGTCCAATCTCACAGTGATCTCCCATATAGCCAGTAGGACAACGACACTTATTTACACCCCGGCAACGCCCACCATTCAGACATGGAATGATACACTTTGCTATAAAATGAACAAATACTATTTCATGAGAATCTGTTAACATTTCTCTCACTGAGAATATCCACTTGTGAAGTTACTCAATAGCAAACTCTGACCTTCTGGTCTATGACAGAAAATAGCTTATTGTTCTCTCCATCGGTAAAAAACATACCTAGAGACAACATTAATATCACAAATTCTGAAATTAATTCTTTGTGGAATTATCACTGTCCTTGGGGGCACCATGCTACAAGCTGGAAGATCGTAGGTCTGATTCCCAATGAAGTCACTGAATTTTTTTTCAATTTACCTAATCCTTCAATCTGCACTGTGGCCCTGGGGTTGACACAGCCTCTAGCAGAAGTGAGTACCAGGAAACTTCCTGGGCGGCAAAGGGCGGCCGCCGTGTAAGGCTTGATGATATTCACATATATAAATTCATATTTCAGAAAGTTATGTCTCCATTCTGTTGGGCTTTCCTGGTGATATGTTTTAGTATCCAAAGTATCCTCAGGTTTTTAATAAGTACAGATTGAAAATTTATATTTTATTTATCTTTACTATAGTTTCATTCATATACTGATTTAATACACTTTTCTCAATATTCCTTATCTACTAAATTAGCACACTCACGTCTTACCGTCCCTGTGCAACCTCATTCATAATTCACACTTACAAAGCTTTCATCTCTTCCTGTTATTTGAATGCTACATGTTTCGGACCAACTGGCCATCATCAGATTTAGTAGATGAAACTGCTGCCCCATTGTCACACTTCTACACGTTGCATTGTAAAGGTGTAAAATACTTATAAATACTTTAATTTTTAATGATTTTTTTAAAATATCATGCCATGATTATTCTGTTGTGTGCATGTGTCTGATGTATATTTTGTTGGTTTTTCTTTGGTGCTGTGTGGAGCTGTTCTGAATTTAGAATACACAGTGCAACAGGATGCTGCAGTATATTATTATTCCATATATAATTATAAAGTACTTTATAACATTTCAGTTTTAACTCCAACAGAACGATACAATTCCGGGTTCAACTGTCCTGAACCTACACATTTGGCAGGAATACTGCTAGGAAAATACAGAGGTTAAATCTGCAACCCTTTGAAATCAGTACTTCTGCTCACATGTCATATAAGCACAGTTTCAAGAGAAGTGACTTTTAATTTAAAGATGCAAATCTTAACCGGTGTTTACATTAGGGTGGTGCCGCAGCGGAATCCTGAGGCAAGAAAATGTGCCTTTTTTGAAAGCTGTGACCACGCTTCGGAGTGGCACATTCGTGCACCTTTCCTGTACGCTTGTAAGTCATTTTGCAATGTAAACACTGGAATGTTTGAAATGTATTACATGCCTGGGGTCGAGTTTCCACGTGATCATTATAGTCACTGTATGAAGATGGAAGGGGTGTTACTTATGTACGGTGCTGTTGCTGAAGTAATAAAAATTGAGCAGTTCCTTGCTGAAAAAAAAATTAAAATTTTGGAAAGTGCTGAAGAAAACTAAGGTGGTGGGTTAGAAACTGGACTGCTAAGAGAGAAGCGATTGGTCCATCAAGAACACTATCGGATGAACTTGTATCTAACAACCCAGAAGATTTCTGACTGATTTGTGACTATCTTGTATCTTCCTCAACTCTTGTGAATAAGAATTCCTTAAATTCTTAAATTTTGAAGCAACTTCTTTTGGACCGAAGCTGTCAACTGATAATGCAGCAACAATATGTTTGATTGCTGCAGTTCGCTAGTCACGACATACAAACAGGGTTCACTTTGACAAAGCTGAATCAGCCACATGGCACTGTTCTCCGATAATTTAAGCGACAGTTTTCCCGACATTTTGGCAACGTTCCCGCACAGTGTGCACCACAGAACTGACACTCATGCCTGTAAATACACCAGGTTCGGGTGAAAAAATTAAACGCAGTTTGATTATTTGTCACGCCTGGCTGAAAAAAGCGTGGCAACTGGCAGGCATGCGTTCACGCCTATGCACTCGTGGCTGTTTTGTATACACGAGCCATGACCATGGCCAAACTACTTTCATGTCTGTTATTAGACGTGGCACCACGCTAATGTAAATACTGCTTTAATTTCTTAAACAAAGCAACTTACAGAATTCACAGCGTAATCCATAATAGCCTTTTGAGCATTCACATGTGTCCTTTTGAATGCATTTCCCTCCATTCTGACATTTCTCAGCACATATTCCTGAAAAAGAACGTTAGTTATTAAAAAAAGAAGAAACGGTATATTTTAATACCTAAACCAGACAGTCACAAGTAAACAGGCTCAGATATGATCTGGGTGAGAAATAAGCAGGTGCGCTTTTATTTATGTTTCTCTTGGTACCTTGATCAGCAGTAGAACTGAAATTCTGTATGCATTTCTCATCTCTCCTTGATTTGAGCACCCTGATAATATTTGGTTACTTATGCAAGTTACAAAACTCCTCATTACGAAATGTTGTCCAACTTTATGTTTCTTTCTCCCTCTTAGGTCAAAATATTCTCTACAGTACCCATCCTCACCATCAATCCATGTTCTTCAGCCAGTGGGTGACCAAGTTTCATATCCACACAAAACAACTCATAAAATTATTTGAATCTTTACGATTATATTCAGGATTGAGGAAAATGAAGGATTCTGAACTGAAGGGTATGAATTTCACTAGTTTTATTTAAATAGAATATATCTGAGTCTAGTGATCATGGGAGGACAATATGAGACTGGCTTTCAAAGACAAACAGGGTAGGAGAGCATGGACTGGATTCAAGTGACTCAAAATAGGGAGTCTTTGTGAACACGGGAATGAATCTTGAGTTTAAATGAAAGGCAGGGAATTTCTTGACTAGCTGAGTGACTATTTTCTGCTGAAGCAGGACTCTGCTTCATGGAATTACTTAAACCAGTATTAGTTTCTTTGGAATTCTAACTACCTGACTTAAGTTATGATTCTGGTTTCAATCTGATTTTCAGTGTTGCTCTTCTTGTGAGGCCATGTTTCGAATGTTGCTAATTAAAATACCTCCAATTCCTTTTGGAGTGAGGTATGTAAGCAGGAGTTCACCAGAAGTGGACAGCATCATCAGGGTGGACCATGCTGGAGAGTTAGGGGCTGATCGTATCTACGCTGGACAAATGGCTGTGCTTGGTATGTAATTTTTATATTTGTAAACATACTTAATGAGGTTGAAACATGTTAAATTTTATTAAATAAATAAAGAACAATCATTTTATTATCATTTTGGAAATACAGTCTTCCTTCATTACATACTTGATATCTGTTGGTTATTTCTGCAACGGCCTAAAAAAATAGAAAGAGAAAGTGGACAGGATAAAAAGTCAGAATATATGTCAGTTTACACATACCATGTGTAGAATACCATGCTTAGAATTCTAATAGCCATAAGTTAGGAATCTATGAAGTACGGCTGGTGATGTCCCTCCCCCCTTCTCTTGCAGGCAGAACGAATGTGGGTCCCCTCATTCAGATCATGTGGGATCAGGAAAAAGAGCACAGAGCAAAATTTGAAGAGCTCATTAACAAGTATAGGGTGCGGCCTACAGCCTTGGTTCCCATCTGGAATATTGCTGGCTTTGTGCTTGGTGCAGGTCTGTGAATTAAGACAAGATATCTACCAAATAAACTAAAATATAGCTAAATTAAGCACAGGAACAACTTTACCTTACACGGTATCTACCAGGTCCTTTTATATTTATAATAAAATCTTTGGATTTATATTACTGAAATCAGAAATTTTAGGGTTATAGAATATTACATCCAATTTTAGCAGCATACTTGCACAATTTTGAGTTGCAGCCATTTACAGCCCAGATACTATTCAGTAGACAAACATTTTTCTTATGTTATCTTGCCAGAAAGGGTCTCTGTGGACAGCCATTTTTCTCTTGAGGGCCAAGTGTCACCAGCGTTCTATGATTTGCCAGCACCTGGTCCACACAAATAGTGAAACAGAAATTTCTGCAATTAATGCCACTTATTTGTAGTACAGCAGGGGAGTTTGTCTGTGTATGAGCCAACTTGTAAATGTATGTCATTTCAGTAATCATGGTGGAGTGGTCCATGAATCAATATGCATATGCTGTTGGAACTATTTTCAAACACAGTCTGTTGTGCAGAAGAGAAACATTTTTAGGCTGGAATATAAGATTTTACTGACTTCTTTTCTGTGCTTGTCTTTGAATTGCTACAGGGTCTGCTCTGCTTGGTCCAAAAGCTGCCATGGCATGTACCATGTCAGTAGAATCAGTTATAGTTGATCATTATAACGATCAGCTTCGAACTCTTATGTCTGATCCGGAGGCTAACAAGGAGCTTCTACAGGTCATTCAGAAATTCCGTGATGAAGAGCAAGAGCATCATGACACAGGACGAGACCAAGGTGCGGAACAAGCGCCTTTCTACAGGGTTCTTACTGAAACCATAAAGTTTGGCTGTAAGGCAGCCATTGCCATATCAAAAGTGATATGAACCAATAAATCATGTTCCAAACATGTAATATTCCCATGTAATATTCCTTTAGTTTATGATGAAGAGAGCATTGTTACTGAAAGTGAAACCTGATATATTATAAAATAAATATAATTTTAGAAGTCATGCTACAGTGTTTTATACAATTTAATTTAGATATTTTCATAATTTTGAAAATATCTGCCTCACTGGAATGTGCTTGCCATTTGACCCAAGGTCTGCGCATTCAAACCTGGCTAAGACTCATGAATTTTTAAGGGTGACAAAAGTCCATAGCACAACTTCCTTTGGAAAGGAAGCAAAGAGAGTCCCATGAAATACATTTATGGCATGTAAAAGAGTATTTCGCTCCTGATAAGAGATGAATGAAGGCAAAATTGGATGCCGTTTTCAGTCGCCAACTAAGCTCCCTACTATGTTTCTAGATGCTGCTGTGGTCATGACTGTGGAGGTCTCTGGCAGACGAGTGGTAACAACTTTAAATCACTTACCCCAACTAAAGTATTCAATTACATAACTCACCCAAGTGGTGTCCAACCAACCATAATTTTGAAATCATATCTCATCCAAAACAATAGAGACATGCTACCCGTTAGTATACTGAGGCCTAGCTGTGAACAGACATTCTTAATTTGTATAAGGTGAATAAATGTAGCATTTTCCCATGGTTTCTTACCCCCTTCACAGTGCCTTCCTTGAAAGCCAATTGGACAGCTACACATCCCTGGAGCAGTACAACTGCCCCCATTCATGCACTGTGGGTAACACAGAGCAGTCTTACAGTACTGCCCCATGTAGCCTTCAGGACACTGGCAGATCTTCTCATAATTACACCAGCCACCATTGGCACACTTCTTGTCACATTCTGGATCTGGGCCTTTAACAGAGAACACATAATGTATGGGAGAGGGCTTGTCTATACATCTGCATGGATAACAACGATTTTGTCAGTGAAAATCTGAAATACAGAAAATATCTTAAGTAATGTATATGTCTCTCCAAATGAGAAGCTTATTTTTTTTTAATATTGCTAATGGGGTGGAACTAAGTCCCTTGTACTGCAGCCACTTCTGGCTTATTGTACCAGGCCCAGATGATAGGTGAGGGTGATTGTGGAGCAATTGGTGGAATGAAGATTGGCAAGGGAAACCGAAGTACTCGGAGAAAACCTGCCGCAGCGCCAGTTTGTCCACCACAAATCCCACTTGACCAGATCTGGGACTGAACCCAGACCACCCCGGTGGGAAGCCAGCAACTAACCGCTTGAGCTATGGTGCGGCCCAAATGAGGAGCGTCATAACTTATACTCTTCTCGAAATATAATTAGAATGATCAAGTCAAGGAGGATGAGTTTGGAAGGGCATGTAGGAGGAATGCATATAGGATATTGGTGGGAAAGGCAGAAGGAAAGAGACCACTGGGAAGACCATGGCATAGGTGGGTGAACAATATTAAAATGGATCTTAGATAGGACAGTATGAATTGGATTGATCTGGCTCAGGATAGGGCCAGTGGATGGCTCTTGTGAACATGGTAATGAACCTTTGGGTTCCATTAAATGCTGGGAAATTCTTGAGTAGCTGAAGATTTGGCTTCTCCTCAAGAAGGGCTCACCTCCATGAGTAAGTAAGTAAATATAATTTTCAAAAGTCTCTCCATTTCTCTTCTGCTATACTTACTGGCAATACAAATAAAATGGAAGGATTGCCATCACACTAACAAATGTTTGTTATATATCAATTCACAACATGTTTCGGCACAGACAGGCCATCATCAGGTGTTTCTTGAGGAAACAGACAAATGGTGATGGACTACATGTAAACTACAATGGTAGTAGAAACATTCTTTTGTTAGTTACAGTTGAGTCTTACTTACTAAGTAGTTTGTAGGGGGAAAATAAAGAATGACTCATGTCAAGTGCTATGTTCTGAAGTATTGTCTGTGTAGAATCCTGAAAAGGCCAACTTTTACATGTTTATTAAATTCTAGTTATACATACTAACCTCACATCCCATTTGTTGTAGTTAAATTCAATGCCATTAAGGAGACAAAATTAAACACAAGAAGAAAACATACTTGTAACTGAACAAAATAAAGACAATGGAAAACATGGATAAATGTTCTAATCCATATTTTAAAACAAATATATGTTAAGTATGACACATCCAACTCTCACCCCTCTGTGCACATTCCTTCCTCAGTCTAAGTCTCAGTGGAGTGCCTGGTAGGGGCTTCCCCTTTCTACTTTCAATAAGCAGTCCAATGCCGAATGAAGCGATGCCCGAGTTGTTCCCAGAGCACGGTAGGAACACACTGAATACTGTGCACATAAGATAATATGCCTCATTACATCTGCAGCCATATCAATAATCATTTTCTATATTTAGAAAGACTTTGCTTTAAATAGTTACTAACAACGACACTCCTTTTAGATTATGATATTTCTTCTCACATCACAACACCACAAGATAATGAATTCCATGCCGCACAGACATGCACGTCTTGGTCATTGTTAACAAATGTATTATAAACAGTAGTATCCGCTGGGATCTCATGCCGAGAAGTCTGGTAGAAGATGACTGATCTACTTCTGGGCTGAAAGGTAGGTCATGAAAGAAAGCAGCATCCTGCTTTCTGGTTGGTTTACTTTATGACCTTGAAGATGGAGGCAGTGTGCTCCTCTGAAAGGTCAATAAACCTCTATACATGTGTAATATCTCACAAAATAGTATTGTTCATAGTCACCGCCATGAGAACCTCGACTCTCAAATGTATTATAATGCATTTGTCCTATGAGACAGAATCATAAACTGGAGAAAAGGTATATAAAAATAAATTTCAATACTCTTTATATCATTTTGTTGTTTGGAAAATCATCAGATTTACAAAAGGCATCTGTTCATGATTATTTGTTTCTGAAAGGGATGTGTTTTATAGTACACAGAAAATACATATGCTTCAAATGTTTTTACAAAAAATATGGTACCTTTAGGTTTGCGTGGCACACGACCCTTAGTCTTGATAGAAATTACAGGTGGCTCCAAAACTGCCTCATCAAAAGACTGAAGTCTATCAAAATTATAGTAGTACTTTTTAGTTCCTGACTTCCACGTGAAATTAACATAGCCAACCTAAAACATACATGAATCATTTATTAGACTTCATCCTTTAATCACAGAGGCCTTTTTTCTTACTCTGTACAAATATTTAAACCACTTGTTGAGGATTATCTGGTTCAAGTAATCAATACAACATCGTAGGTGCCAGAAGAAGGTATCAAACATGCTTGCAGTTTACATTCTGAACCTTCAGCACACACAAGACTATGAGGCCAAAATGTCAGAATAAATTATTGTTGCCAGTGTGTTATTTGCAATTACTGAATAAGGCTATTATGACAACCAAACATAAATCTGTGCAAATAATATTTTATTAAAGGCTCTTGTGTTAACTGAGTGGCAGGCAATCATGTGCCAGCATGCACATGCCTCATATTCATCAAAGGATCCAGACCCCCTCTCACCTTGGCTCTTTGAGAGGCATCAAGTGCCTAGCCCGCTCACAAAAGCACAGGATCATTCTAGAAATACTATGGCCTCAAGTTGAGTTTGGTCTTAGCAAGATATATGTTAGAATATTAAATAATTCTTTTACAAAGAATTTTAATCAAAGAGAGTATCTCATGACTAAGATTTTCCTCTCCAACAAGAATTACACTATACTGATTTCTTTAGTTGTGTAATCATGCCCAGCAGTAGTTTACAGAAAAATTAAAGGAAACTGAATCTGTAAGGTATAATTCAACGTTATTTTGAAACTGAATGGCTCTTAAGAGAATGATGTGAAATGAAAGGCATTCTTTACTACTGTCTAATGTTTTTTTTTTTCTAAAATCATAAACCACAGTCTGAATCACCTACCTCTGATGGAATGATAGGAAGATGTTTTTCAAAGTTTGGATCTAATATATACGGCAAAACATGTCCATCCATTATGGCATAAATTTCCATCGAGATACCTGTAAGAATACACACATGTTTCATGCGCTAATAAATGAGATTGTCATACATCGCGCCATATTTCCAAGGTTCTTCGTTCAACCTGTTATTGGTTTGCGTGACAAGAATATTAATGCCATTGGCTGTTTGACGAATAAAATGGAAGTCTTACTCACCGCTAAACATTTTCACTTGTTGCTCATCAATCCACAAATACAAATCGCCATTCCTTGGCGCGCTTTTAACAAACACTGTTACCACGAACAAAAGTATAGTATTCCGCATACTGATTCGTTTAAAAATGCCAATTATAAACATTCTGGAACATAAGAATATAAGCACTGAAACGCTACTTCGTGCGCACACTCGTGGCCTTCCTCCACCAATAGCGAGGTTTGATTCCGTTACCACGGCAACAACGAATACTGAGGAACATTACTGAAATAACTATTTAATCATCAATTATTTTCTTCCCACGTGAGATTTATTAGATTTAAGAATAGTCACTGGAATGTACAATGCACTGTCAATACTGACATACAAAGGTAAATACTTTCCACAGTTCATATACTTGCTTAGAACGAAGTTCGATTACGGTACAGGTTACTGGATACAGTGCTTGCTGTTGGTCTCGTGTGTCAAATTAAACGCTTGAAATACTGTATGGGGCAGAATACGCCGTTAGTACTCATTGTAATTACCTTAATCAATTTCACTCCTATCATTCAGCACTGACACTTGTAATACTACCACATCCAGCAGTGACATTTGCTTGAAATACAATCACAACAAAGTCACGAATACATTCTGTGATTTCAGACAGACGCGACGAAAGTCGGTAATGTCATTTCAGTCATTTTATGCCTCACGCTGCCATAACCAGGCGCACACACGTTTATTTTTTGGCCCTTTAGCCTCTTGGGGCTCTTCGGCTTACAGCGCCTCAGGCATCAAGGGCACAGATTACTAAATTTAGATAGGCAATTCAGTGCTGTCGGTGGGCAACGTAGAAATAGACACAGATGACTAAACATGCAATAGCGACGTTTGAATTTCGTTATCGTTACTTTAAATAAGTAAAAGCAAATCATTATAATTATTAACAAAAGATGTAGCATAGTCACATATAGACGCTATTGGTGGGAAATTCATCACATATAATTAGAATGACGAAGTCAAGGGGGGATGAGATAGGCAGGGAATGTAGTACGCATGTCTACCTTAGTTGATCAAGTTAAAATTAAATCACATTTTTTTAACAAGTTTATGTATAATGTGGAATTCATGTACTATGGAATATTACTGTATTATCTGAAATGTCTGTGTATGTATTTATTTTGGAAACAAGTATTTGTATTATAACTTGTTCTACATCCTTGGCTTAGGTCTATCAAGTCTGAGACTGCAAATAAATTATGTTCTTTTCTATTCTGCCAAAACAATATCATTCCTAATTTGGTACTTTGCTGTTCCTGTAATGGACTTGTGCTGTTGTCACATTACAGCATTAATAATAATTTTACAACCCGAAATGAATACTAATATGTTTAAGTCCCTCTTGATGAATTTTGTGCCAGGACTGCTGGCAAAACAAAGAGAACGGAGAGGTAAAGAATAACAGATTGTTCTTCATTAAACATTCCCCAGGTACAAATGATTAATAAAAAACTAGGTTTCCTTGGAATAAACATGAATCAGTAGTTTAGGGTTGATTGGAGGATTAAATCCATTATGACATGCTTCCCACATAATGTAATTTGGTAATTGTATCAAACAAGATGCACCCACCCTCTCTCCTAGTAATAGTACATGCTGTAGCAAGACAAGACCAGCAGCAGGAAGGTTCTATCATTAATGCTAGTTCATGGTTAAGCGCATTACAGCCATTTTGATGATTCTTGCTAATATATATTTTTTACCATCTATATTTTCTTTATATTTATGAAGTTATTTCAGCTCTCTCATGCACCACTGACAATTTCGACTGGTTTATGAATGCAGTATTATGTGAACATTCTTTATACTGGAGTAATGCTAGCATTGTAAACAGAATGACATGTCTTGTGGTGAGGAAAGAGGAGGAATTGTGGTATTTGATGGAAGTGGCTGTTCTTATTCATAACACTGTACACATGACGTGCCAAGAATTGTGAAGAGTACCTAAACCTCAAGAGAGATGAATCCACTTGATGTCTGATTTATGGTCTTTACAGTGATGAAGATTCATATTATGGGTCTCTGAAGTACATCATGTAGTCTGGTAGATGGGGACCAATGTTTTGAATAACGTAATGCCTCCACCTTCAGGGTAGAAATAAAGATAATGTATATATACCATGGATGAAAATCAGTGCAACAGGATGCTAAAATACGACATTAAGTTAATGTTGTAATCCCAGAACCACATGATTTGGTCTACTCAGATTTTGATAGTTGGCTCTCATATTAATTTTTTTCTAATAATGTTCAAACTAAGGCATTTGATACAGTTCATCTACCTACGATTTTCTTCTTTCTAAGACAATGCAATAAGAACCACTTTGAAGTCTCCTAATTGACCTTCAAATATCCTATCATCAACTAAACAGTTTGGATCCTACTGTGTAAAATATGGAAATTGAAAGCAATCAAAGCCAAGAACTTTGGCAGTAATCAGGTTTGAAAATTAAACACTTCTGCAAATATGTAACCAGTTTAATCTGATGTATAAGTATACATTACAGCATCATAACCTGCACACACCGCTATGAGATATTTCTTGATATCTACATCTTATATTATTTAATATTTTTATTTATATATTTTTATTGACATCACACTAAAACTGAATGTTTAGTTTGTTTAAAGGATCAAATCACATTCTGGGATTCCCTCTACCTTCAGTTACTATTTATTTAATATTATATTCGATTCCCATTAAGCTCACCTCCCGCACTGATGAATTAGAGTTGGTCTTACTTTGGAATGAACTAATTTATTAAGCTATGGCATAGAAAGACTTGAATCGAACTTCTTCTACTCTTGTAAATTTACAGCAACACAGCAGTTAGAATTTTTTATTGAAGTGATGTGAAATTCACGGTGTAGTGCAGTCCATGTATTAGTCAAGTTAACAAAATATTCTTCTGTAATTTGAGAATGTGGGTAAAATATTTTAGTAAACTTAATACCAATACAAACCCAGGACTCTTGCATGACATATCCCATTATGGACACTGTTACAAAATATCACATTCAAGTAAGGGGGTGAAGTGCATGCATACATTTTGCTGGCATAGAAGGAAAAGGGACAAAGGAAAGACACTCTAATTTAAATGTTTGTTTAATGGTCATTTATTCCTTGAATGTATCCGGTAACATGTCCTTCACCCCCTTCAATATACAGCAGGAGGAAAAACTCAACTGAACTTATATTTGCAATTTGTTAAAAGTATGTTAAATGCTCAGCCTGAGTGCTATGTATAATTGCAATAATAATATAATAATAATAATAATAATGCAAGACTGGGATTGAACTGGAGCGCTAAGGTCATAATGCATGTCACTACTCCAATATAAACATGTAGCTAATGTTATTTGTAACAGCTTTAGGTTGGCGATTGTAGTCTATAGCCACAACTTTCATCATACCATTATGTCTCTTTATGGCAGTTTATATTTAGTTTGACAAGACACACGCACAATGCATATTTGATGGCGGTGATTATTAACGGTTTGGTATCTTAATGCAGTCTGTTCCTTTTCTTTATATTGTTCATTGATGCCTTCACAGAAACTCTTATATGCACTCAGGAATTGTTTTTCTTCAAAACTTGAACAGATCCTAACAACATGTATCTCTTCCAAGCATACACTTCTATATAATTTGTACAATTCTATTGATGTGCTGTTATATCTATTTCTTCATCTTCTTCATTCAATGTACAGGTTTAACAATAACTTGAATTCTGTGCCTTCCTGTATGATGGTATATACCTGCAATTAACTTCTGTACCCATAGCTGACTGAATCATTTGGGGTGAGAGATTATCTGTAAGGTAAAGTACATCAAGATTGCTGAATGACTGAATAATATTCCAGTTCACATAGATGTTCAACCAGCTAAATACTTGAGTACATGTAGCCCCCCTCCCCCTGCAGTTCTAGCTGAAAGAAATTCTAACTCCCCACTGTCTCTCAAACAAAAGCCACAATGAACTGAGTACTTGTTTATTAGAAATTCTGACTATTTTATGAACAGTATATTGGTCACAAATTTCTGCCATTTAAAAAACGTTAAGTAAAAAGGTTTCATTATAAGGAAATGGAACAGTAGCATCTAAGTTTTGAAGGCATTTTCTTCACATGAAGATGTAACACCAAAAGTTTAGTTTTACCTACAAGCTGCAAAAGCATCAGAAAAGAATGTCTGCTATACTATGTACTAATTACATTCATCTTCCCAACCATTCTTTAAGCCATCTATAGCATTTACAGGTCACAGAGATCCACGTCCCAAGACCAAGATTAAGCACGAATCTTACACATCATATGTTACTGCAAATCCAAGTCAGCACATTTTCAGTTCTCAACATAATGATCTAAGTCCATGATGGGGGTCACGCTTAAAATGTAACCATCAACAAGAAGGCACAGAATTTCCACCCATCCTCACACTCAACCAGAGAAGTCACTCCATTTCCACTCGCTGTAGTATCAACATTTTATGTGATTTTCCCAACTTACCATCTGTCATGTCACTGCAGATATAACACAACCGAGGCACTATACATTGGAATCAGGCTTATAATTATGTTTCCTTAAATATGCATAGAAGAAAACAGTGCACTGAGAGACACGATGACGATGATGTTTTTGTTAATAAGGTACATACACTAATAATAAAAAGTAACAATGTTATCTGATGAATATCTTTCTTAACAATATAACATTGTAAAAAGAGCGGTTGAAAGACATAGCAAACTTTCAAATATAAACTAAATACTGAGTGCACGACTTACTCCATAAAAAGTGATTTTATACAGTATTATTTAATATTCCTAGATTTTAAAAGACAAAATAACTAGTTTAAATTACAACTTTTTTGTTTTTTATACGTTAATAATAAAGTATGTACAGTTATGAGGAACCTCCAACTAACACAAGCAGGTGCGTCTTCTGGTTTTGAAGAGGGAAGCAGCCCCACACACCACTCATGTCCAAACATATGACTGCCAAGCACCATATCTGGTAGACAATGTTAACTCCTCTATGAGGCAAAAAGGAAAACTATCTCTTATCTCTCTCTCTTTTTGGATTGGACAATCATTATTGTTCAGATGGATACAATTTTAAAGTAAAATCATATCACATTTTAGTCAATCTGTTATATAATAAAATGAATAACTTCCATTTTCTGTTTAAAACCAAAAAGCAGACCTGCAATATATTTTCTTCTGATTCCTTATTGCAGACATCCATTTTATTAGACATGGCTATGTAGTTATCTTAGATCATAAGTAAACAATGCTACCATTATTGTTTCCCTGCTTGTATGAACTTGAAATTTGTAAATACCTTCAATTCATGCCTCAAATCCATAATTTCACAGGATTTTCAACTGTTAGTCCGTGGGCCATATCTGGGCTTCCAGCATGCAAATGTTCCCTCAACACTAAAAATACTGATGCCCCCAAACATCACCCAACTTATAATAAAACAAAAAAGTGTGAAGCTACAATTCAATGTGAGAGAATTATCTACCAAGTTCTACTCTAACGGTCATTTAGATCTGAAACCAATGTTTATTTCAAAAGCAGTCACGTCAACAGCCAAAACTGTTTTAACGCTGGTAATTAAAGTGTCCCCTCTGTAAATTTCATCTCCATTTCTCAGATGTGTCTATTGCTACACCAATAACAATTCTCCCTAAGTAACAGTCTTTCTTTCTATATCTCATTTCAATGTAAATGTACAATCCTGGGAGGGCAACTCAGAAAACTTCACAACAAAATTCCAATAAGAGTTGTTCAACAAATACAATACCATATAAAACATGGTTCTGTCTTTGCAGTTCATTTATAAGTAAAAGGTATCCCAGAAGAGTATTAAATTCTCATCTGGGATCAAACGACAGCAAAATTGTCTTATTGATTAATCTGTGACTTCCTATAGTCTATTTACAGTTCAGTGTTGTGAGTTATTTTACAGTGCTGTTAGTAGTTATACTATACATTTATTCAATGGCAGGGTGACGGAAGATCTGGAAGAAGCTGTGGCCTGGGGTACTGTCCCAGTGTTCGCCTGCAGGTACTCAGGAAAACCACAAAAAAACTTATCAGGACAGCCAGTGTCCTGTGGGTGATTTGAACTGAGCACCTCCCAAATACAAGTCAAACAGCATTACCACTATGCCAGCCTACTACTCGGTTAATAAGTGTTATAAATCCCAATAATCCGTTTTGTGTTCTATAGCATAAAAGAATTGCACACCCAAACAAATTCACTTACTCTGACAAAGAACCTTGTATATGCCACATCAACATGATGTCAGAGATGACAAAATGATTGTGCATGAAGACATTTACGCTTCATATAAATTCAAACACACAGTGTTTTTATGGACAAATGTTATGTAGCTCTAGAGAACTATCCAAGATAGCATCAGGGGGGAAAAAAAACCCACACAAACCACAACCCAACTACACTGTTAAGAAATCATTCCCTTCTAAGAACTTTCATTCATGTAGATAAATTTCACATTTTTAACACCACTCCCCTTAAGACCATTTTTAATCTTAGGATTTTGTTGGCCCCTAAAATGATTGTAGACTGCTGAGTATGGCCCTTAGGAATGCAAAAGCTGGTCAAGTCGACTGCAAAAATATCCAGTCGTATATGTAATGGTCTAAGATAACTACACAATGAGCACGCATAAAAGCAGCATCAAAAGAGCACAAAGGGGAGAGAGAGAGAAAAAAAAAGAAGTCATTTTTATATACATATACACACACAATTATACAACTGCGAAAATAATTTAAACTTTGAGCATTGATTTGCTTTGTAGATTGTAGTCTGTCCCTTTCCGATGAACTGGTTTTATTTGTGCTCACAATTAAGTACCTGAATGTACATAATTTATTCATCAAAGTGTCAAAAAAATTAAAGGTGCTTAATATAACTTTGTATTACATGATTGTTGCATGGAGCTCATTCAGGGAAAGTCAGCTGTTCCCCTCGGAGGAACGTGTCTGAACACATATTTACATTCAATTTTGATGCAACAACTTGCACCAAAAAAGTGATCCCCATTACCTCCATACGGCAACCATCGTCCGCGGTGTTATTCTTGCACATTTTCATTCTAAATACTCCTCTATATTACATGGTTATCCTGGGAAGTCAAGAACCAATCATGTATCAAGAATAAGAATTCTGCACAATCAATCCAGTATCACAGGAAGATACACCAATCAAATTATATAATGGACAATGTAATTTTCAGCATTCCGTTATGTGACAAAATACAAATTACTAAACATAATCCCAATTTTACTAACCATGAATCCAAACATTCAATTGTTTTAAGCTTTAATTTGCAGCTGTTTAGATGTAACTATTAACCCATACCCATCAACTGTTATGAGAGTCCCTTTTTAAGTTGTTTTTTGTTTGCTTTTTTTTTTGTAAGGACGTCCATGAACATGATTTTGGCAATTTCTCCCTTTTATTATTATATGAAAGGGAATGCAGAAAATGCTGAAACTAAAACTGCACTATGCTGAATTATGTATAAATACCTTTTTATGTTCTGTGGGGCTGTGAATAAAAACAAAAAGACATTTTAACACATAACCTACCAGATTATTTTGAGTCATAAGTTTTAATGTTTACCTTTTCATCCAAGTTCAAACATTATATTCAAAACTGATGAATGAATTATATGGAAAGTGAGATCAAAATTATTAAGGAAAGAAAATGAAAACACAAGGAGAGTAACACACATATATTTCTTCCCTAACAACAACATGGATGGCTTCATACTAAGTTTTTCAAAACAAATATTTTATTCCAACTACAACAAACTTTCACCACATATATGCATCTACAATATCCAACATCAAATTATATGTCACTCAACTAAAAAGGAGAATTTCTAGGAAGCAGTATAGTAGTATAACCTTAATTTGCAATCTCTTTGAAACTACCACAAAAAGTATGGGTGTAACTGGGGAGGTCAAGGGTATATGGGCAGCAAACGTCTTGTCATAAAGTGGCTTTACTGTACAGAAAAAAAGCACACTGGGTATGACAAAGTATCTCATGCATCCACTGTATTTAATTTTATCTTAAAATTCTCCAAATCCATATGTTCATCTGAATATCAGTATGTACATACAAAGAAAATAACACAAAAATAGCCCTCCTCACAAATAATGTATGGAAACTTTCATTACACCAGGAAGATAGTAAAGTGAATGTATGTATGTATGTATGTATTATATATACATAATAATGTTTTGAGGCATTTACATATAAAAATACCATGCACATGAAATCGGTCACATCAGTATATGCATATCCCACAAACAATGGACACTGGAAAACAGAATTAGAAATGTCTACTATACACACAAACCTACGCTTTACTGACTGAGGAGACTGAATATATTTCATTTTCTTAGAAACTGGCTTTGTGACATGCAATGCTGAATGAAATATAAAGGGAACACTACAAGTCATAACAGTTTTATATTTTCTGCCATAAAGAAACGTCAATAGCTTACAGTGCAGCTATATTATTATTGGATAAACTACCATATATCTTGTGTTCAAAGCAGTAGTTTTTAGGGTGCTGCTGTACTATGGGGCCAACTGTAAGACATCTTGTCTCTACATCAGTAGTTCTGTCATGGGCACATTCAGTTTTAATCCTTTTAAGCTACACACGAGATAAACCACTCAGAAGCACTGGGTTTATCTGACAAGGAATGTGTCCTGCAATCATTCATCAGCTGAACATAACTGTCCACAGCATTTCAAGAACAGACATTATGTTACCATCAAAGAACACTAACAACTTTTTAAATCAGAATCAATACATGAAAGGTTCAATAACATTTCACTGTTGATGTTTCAAAACGTGTGTGGAGTTTCAGTCACTGGATGGGTAATATATTTAAGTACTAAAAATTATTCACATCATAAATGCAACAGAGAACAAACATCCCAAGAGTGGAATGAAATTAGGCAACAGTGAAAATTTTAGTACTTTGGAGTTTTGGTATTATTAGTGAAAATTCTATGACATGTTTACAGTCTACTAACCACAGTGTCTGATACTGGTGAGATGTGTGGCATCCAACTACATACTTTCCACAGGTAAACTCATTATTTTTTATACAGTAACATAACCAATATCGGTGAGAAAGCCAGAAAGAAGGAGACACTAGGAAGACCAAGGCATAGGTGGGTGGACAATATTAAAATGAATCTTAAGAGAGATAGGATGGGATGGTATGGATTGGATTGATCTGGCTCAGGACAGGGACCAGTGGAGGGCTCTTGTGAACACGGTAATGAACCTTCAGGTTCCATAAAATGCTGGGAAATTCTTGAGTATCTGCAGATTTGGCTTCTCCTCAAGAAGGGCTCAGCTCCATAAGTGGCATAACCAATCTTTCAATAGCATGACCAACATGGATGTAAGGCAAACACATGCAGGACTGAAGACTAAGGTATAACAGCTATGTTCTCATGACCTGAAATCACCACACCATTAAGATATTTACAAAGCTCAACACATACTGACCTAACCTCAGTACCAGATGGAAGTGAATACTGAGTATCATGCTCCAACCTCTTTACCCCAGGGAAAAAGCCATAACCACATACTAGGCAAGAAACTCTGGGGGTGTCAAGAGTTGGTCTGGACAAGCTGGCAAAGAGGAAGGTCCTTGTGCTACTTAGGAATTTAACATCACCTACTAGCTAAATCGGGTCACAGTACTGACACAACCCCAATCCTGGAGGCTGAACCAGAACAAAATCTTATTAAAGCAGGACTGAAACTATAATGTATACCTGACCAATCCCACAATATAGAAACATTCTAACCATAAATAACTGAGCTGCCCACATGGAAGGGTCTTGAACTACTCCCACTCTGTCAAGCAGCCAGCAATATCAACAAGCCCACAGAACTATGAAACCCACCCATATCACAGCAGACACCAGAAACGCTTCTTCACTTATGATTCCGTTCCTGGCACCTCCATAAAAGTTCACAGTCACATGTTCAGATTCCTTTTCAGAGAGGGAGAACATTTCAATCATGAAACCCCTGGGGTATCCATCAGACACCTTGCACAAGAGACAAAGGGTTCAAGTATGCTCTGTTTCTGAAAAGAAGCTACAATGCATGAATGTGAACTTCTTACGGATATGGCAGGAATGCATGACAGGGAACATTTCCAGCATCTGCTGTGACCTGTGTTATGTACCACTTTTGATCTGTTGACCTATAGGCTTGTCTATACTGCTGGCAGTTGCAGTTTCGATTGTCTGGGTAGACTCTTCTGCCTAGGCAGACCAGATATATGCAGCAGGCTGAGAGACAAACATACTGTATTCAAACTCAGCATACATTCCAACCCATCGCACACTGAGTTATATACTGGAGTCAACTGCATCAACAGTGTTCAAGGCTACTGTTCAGTTTCTTCACCATACTCTTTGCAGGCTACTCATTTAAATCAGGACATTCTCATTAAAAAGCACAACAGCAATTTAATTTTCATTAATAAAAAAGAAAAATCTGTATTCAATCTATGGAGTCTCTCACAGCTGGATGCATTCAGGTTTAAAGCTTCTGCTGAAGGACCCACCTTTCCTAATACATGCTCTGTCGGGAGCCCAACCTTCTACATCGACCTAACTCTTTGCCTTTGTAACTACCTTACCTGCCTTATCTTCCAAATTAATTATTTGCACACATTATTCTTGTTAGAACACACTCTACTTCAATATTATGTCCATACACCCTTCTTACCTAGCAGTAAGCTGTAATACATGCAGGTCTACAAGTTTCATGCTGCTATGTTTTGTCGTTATGACTAACTGGACCCACAATACAGAAAGTGTGTTGATAATGTCATATCACTATTGGCAGAAAGTCTTACACACACAGAATATAGTTAGTCCCAGCTTTATACAGAAAAACTGAGTTCTATATTACAAATGTTTAATATCAAATAAAAATTCTGCCTTAATCAAAATTTAGGCAACACATAAATGGTTGAAAGAATAATTTGTAGTTGGCACAGAAATCAGTCCTTCCATTTTGAAAATTGGCTTTCAGCATGTCACAAGGCTTGGACCAAAACTTCTGACTGATTTCTCAAATGGTGTGTGAGTAAACTGTGCTGGCAATGGACGTGTAAAAGCGTCATGTTAGGGAAAATCAATCATATATGGGTCCTGGTTTCTGTGCACAGCTCATACAAATACTAATACCATGCATCTGCATTTTTAAGGAATTTTACACTAAAAATCTGCTATAATTCCACAAACCACAGAAATGTAATTTCTAATAAAAATGAAGTTGAATGCAAACCACATATCTGAGGTAGCACATATGTATAGTCTAACAAAATTAAATGTGTAGTTACATGGTATCAGAATACAGTGATATGGTGAGCAGTCTACACACATGCGTTCTGCAATGCTTACCCCCAACAACAACCATACAAACACAAATTAGCGATGCTTTGGAAATAACATTTGAACAGATAAGTAATTATACCGAGCTCCTGACCCTTTGAAACATTCAAACAGTGTTCTAGCTTTCTCATTTACAACAACTCTCCCTCACATATGCTACAGTGACTATATTACATAATTACAATATGAAAATGTGCCAAAATGGATATGTGTGAGGCACCAACAACAGAACCACAACCAATAAGAGCATTGCAAGGTCTATTGGCAGAACAAATGAGATTATTTATGCCTATGTGCACACACAAATCATACAAGAAACAACAGCAAAACCACAGTCACAATATTGACAGAGGGAAGGAGAGGGAAGAAGGGAAGGTAATATTCTGCCTGTAGAAAAAGGGGGGAGGATATTATAATTAAAACAATGAGAATATAATGTCTTGGTGTATCTTCCTACCAATTACTCTCAACAAGAACCATGTTAAGATCTGAGGTTCTCGTGTCATCAGTGATTATGAACGTTAACGTCTTCTGCGATGTCACGATGTACAGTCTGACAGACCATTACCAACATTCTGGAGGACCCTGCTGCTGCTTTCGCTTTCAGGGCAGAAGAGTGGCTTCTACCTCGAAGATGGAGGCAGCAAGGTCCTCCAAAATGTTGGCGAGTCTACTACACATCATCACACGCAAGTCAATAACCTTCATAGTTAGCTGCTGTGAGAACCGGAAATCTCATGCAATTAGAACCACGCTTAAGAATTGTTTATATTGGTGCACTATCAACAGTACCTGGTACATTTCCCTCCCCCAACAGAAAATCATCCTCACACTTTGTTGGGTTATCTGGAAGTATAAATATGCAGTTGTCCATTCATACAAAACAAAGGACTGTCTTACCCCTGCATTTCTTTGTCTCACATTCTTCTGCATACTGAGGGGAGGGAGATGATCTAGTGTCAAAACATGCATTTTTATGGCTACCCTATTTTTTACTAAAAACTTGGTGATCATCAAAACATTCTTCTTTTTTTCAAGTTAAAAAATTAACAAAGAAGCCAACAGTTTATTTTATTTTTCCCCCCAATTTACAGCAGCCACTTGGCATTCACTTCCTCTGTCTAACGGAATCTTTGCCATGGTCAGGTGTGTTCTTCCTGTAAAACAGAACAAGACCACAAGCAATGACAACAGTGTTTTCCACCCATCACTATAATGACAATCAAGGACTGATACATATATTTGCATGTTGGCAACAAAGTGGTACCTTCATCACCCAACCTATACCTCTGCCTGCCAACATGCAACAATTTTGGAACAACTTTTTGAACAACTTTCAACAATAAGCTCTATCTTCTGAGACGTAACTGTGTAATTCATTGAAAGTCAACCAACAATTTGGAGGAACATGTTACGTCCATCTCCAGGGTGAAAGAAAAACCAAAGCAAGCAACCAGAATGAAAGCAGGTGGCAAGGAGAGCTGGTTTCTTGCTCACCTTATTCTTTGACCCTGAAGATGGAGGCAACATGTTCCTCCAAATTGTTGGTTGACTTCCAACATACTACATGGTGTTATATCCCAGATGACAAAACTCTTCATAACTACTGCTCTGAGAATGTCAAATCCTACGAAATTTGACGATAAGGAAGTTAACTAAAATTTGTCATCAAATTCCAGTGTAAGTTAAAACCAGACAAAAATAACAGACATTACATACAGTTCTACATGTGTACCTCAAGTCCAACTAATTTTCAGAATAAAAACTGTTTAGAACAAGAGTTGCAGAGTAAAATCTGTGTTTCCTATACATAATTAACTCTCACATTCCCTCATCGCACCCACAAGAAGCACACTGCTTCTTTCCTAGCTACCTAATGTTGCTACACGAAGACAGAAGAGCGACAAATGTGAACAGCTACAGTAAACAGCAGCAATTCTGAATCAATGGCCTTGAAGTCACTCTCTTACTACACTCTATATTTAAGACATGTGCCATCCTGTGAAGTACCTATTAAAATCACTCGACGCACCCATCTGAATGCAAGCAACGACTCGAGAACTGCTAAATGGATTCTCACAGGGAGTTCTACAATAAATTTGTCAACATTTTAAAATCTGGTTAAAAATGGACTCAGAATTATTGGGTTTTTGGATTTTGTTCATCCTCCGGTATTCGAGAAACCAGAGAACAAAACGTTTCGGAAGCTGGCTCTGTTTCCGTCCTCAGGTGAGGGAGATGCCTACTCTGTTTGGTCCCTTACAAAGAAATAACCTCAATCACTGGACAGCCTATGTCAGTATAAGTACAGGTATATAAATACCTGAGACAAGGCTTTGTCAGGGGAGGTAACAGGAAAATATGCAATAAAAACTGTGATAAAGCAGGCACAGACCTGAAACTAAGACAGAAACAGAGGTCAGTTTCAGGCCCATGCATGCTTTATCACAATGGGTTGTGCCCAGTGATTGAGGTTAGCTCTTTCTAGGGGGCCCAACAGAACAGTTGTCTCCTCACCTGAGGACAGAAACAGGTCCAGTTTCCAAAATGTTGTGTTCTCTAGATTTTAGCATACCAGATGATTGAGAAAATCCAAAAACCCCCACATGAGGCTTACCATAACATTAAAGTTAGGCAATTTGTTTAACATTCTCAAATTATGAATTTTCTGCTTCACTGTGTGCAGTGCCCCCTCTACCAAACTCTTACATTATGAAATACTGATTATAAATGTAACACCGTCTCATTTGTGGCACGAGTTTATGTCACTGAAAACAGCTACCCAAGATAATGCTGTACACTGCTCAATGTAAGGATGTAAATTAACATTACATCCCCAGTAAAACCCCAACACAGAGTTCATCTGTAATCTTCTGACATGTCAATAACTGACGGTACAACGGCCACTTACGTTTCAGGACTGTTATCTGTGTCACTTTCTTCCAACTCTGTCTTGTTGCGTTTCTTCTCATAAATCAAGATAATGCCACAGAGGACAAACACTTCAGCACATATGCCAAGGAAAGGCCAAAGAGCAGCTAGCTTATCTGTAACAGGCCAAACAATACTAAATGCAGTACAATCAAGAGTGTCCATCAAGTGAACCTTCCACATTTAGTGAAACCAACATCTTGTCCTTACTTTTAAGGGAATTATATAATACAGTAAACACTTCTTTCCTTCTTCATTAGCACACATAATTGGGAGTATATGTACTAATGGACATAACCCTGCAACCTTCCAGACAAGAACCTACTGTTCTACTATCTATTTTAATGTTACCCTTTCTTCTCCTGCTCAATCTTCGAAGTGTCCATTTTTCATGAGATTCTATCAGCAAAGTATTCTTTGTCACAACCACTGTAATCTCCTACTTTTCATTATTCCAACAACACTATGACTGTGAAATGGAGGGTGCTACCAGAGCTGTAAATGGAGGTAGATAACATCTACTTCAATCCAGATTATGAAGTTACTTCTACTGCCTTAAGACATCATAGGTATTGCTCCTAACAATGATAAGTGTAAGAACAAATTCAGGAGAAGTCTCACTCACTCCTGGAAGAGCTGGCAGTTGTGTAGCTACTCAAGAACTTCCCAGCATTTTATGGAACCCGAAGGTTCATTACTGTGTTGACAAGAGCCATCCACTGGTCCCTATCCTGAGCCATATCAATCCAATCCATACAATCCCATTCTCTCTCTATAAGATCCATTTTAATACAGTCAACCCATCTATGTCTTGGTCTTCCCAGTGGTTCTTTCCTTCTGGCTTTCTCATCGGTATCCTATATGCATTCCGCTTCTCTGCATTCATGCTACATGCCCAACCCATCTCACCCTTCTTGATTTGATCATTATAAGCTCCTCATTATGTCATTTTCCCCAACCTCCTGTCACTTCATCTCCTTTTGGTCCAAATATTCTCCTCAATGCTCTAATTAATTAATAATAAAGTGGCTACTATTTTTGTAGCACAGCATGATATTATTAATTTCATTAATCAGATAATGTCATGCAGTTAATTGTGTCAAGGACCTAGCAATAACCTGTCCTGTAGAATTATCCAATCATATGGACTGACATGGAAAACAAATAAAAGCCTTCAAATAATATTCTCACCCTTAACTCTAACATATGCAGTTGCAACAGCTGTAGAATTATTAGCAAGTGTTGCAGTGCAACTATACAATCCACGGTCCTCCATTTTTGCTTCCTTGATAACAAACAATGCATTGGGAACACCATTATGTTCTTGAAGCACTACGCGGTCACGACTTCTGTAGTAAGTTTCATTACCTGAGGTAGAAGAAGATCTCAGTGTTAATTACGACATTCAGTTTTCATGGAGATCACTTGTGTCAGGCAACAAGAAGTTTGGGGCACACATATGTATTACAGCAACACTGGATGTGACCTACACCTAGATGGGTGACCACAATAGATTTCAGCACTTCTGACTCACATGCTGATGCGCTATAATTTCTGACCAATCACACAATATCAGGGCTAATAAATCACTACTCTATGAACAAGTAACATATGCTGAGAGCACAGGAGCTACTCCCATGTTTTGATTCTCTCCACATCTCCTTCAAGGTGTATGCTCTCACTCCAGACATCCAGCCATTCTGCTCACATCAATATTGGTAGAGTTGATTGTGGTGACTATCTTCGGTCCGAAGACAGGGGCTAGGTCTATCTATTGGATCAAACTCAGTAGGTTTTATTACCTGAGAACGGGGACAGAATTCAGTCTCCGAAACACTGTGTTTCAAAAAAGAAACAGGACGTTTCTTTAAAAAATAGACAAGACGATGGATAATGTCCAAAAACATGATACTTGTAGGAAACACAATTTTAAAATTAATTCATAAAATTAGGAAGATGTATTGACACGAGCTGCGACAGTGTACAAAAGTGCAGCAATTTCTCCAACAATTCTAATGCAGCTGATGATGGAAAAACAGGTCCAAACATGCTGTGCAACAGATGTGTTAAATAAAGACAAACAACTTCAAAAATTCTGAGCTTTAAAATTGTAGAATTTTAATTTAAAACTTTTAGTGTGTGCCGCATATGAGACGGCAGTGAATGCTTGACTAAGAAGCATTTTATTTTATTTTTCATATTTCTAATTATACTTCTTTGCAATATGCTACACCAAAGAAGATGCCAACTTTACGGTGTGGCAACTGTTATTCTGCTGGGTCTTAAGAGGTTACAGTACATTTTACAGAGGTGGGTGAAAATATAAAAAAGAAGATGCTACATGATGATCAGTGCCAGCGGAAATTCAAACCAGTTACCTCCAGAGTGTGAATATTCGACAGAAATAATCTCTTAGCATCAACTCAATTACACACTTGGGCTATGAATGCTGCCTCAGATAAATGCATGTAATCTTCATAGGCTATCAATAATACTGTATGTATGTTCTCAATTATGTACTGTGAGAATCAAAAAGAGTGTGGAAGAGAAAGATATATTGGACACTGCACAGAAAACCAATAATGAAATGGTATGGCAGAGATTAGGTGTGTGGAAACTGATGGGTTGTAGGCAAGCAAGTAGAAAAGACCAGGGTCCCATATATGGTGAAATGGAAGATGTCATGCATATCATTTAACGTTGGGTCAAAACCTCCAGCTCGGGAGTGGAGGCTATTAATGAGAAGCAGACAACCTTTCATGAGGAAAGTTCCTAAAAAAAAGTATAATTTTAGTAGTAGAATATGTCTTCTGGGTCTGTGTGCTTAACTGTTCAGTTACCAGTAGGTGTGTTAAGAGAATTCATCATTCATTTGTAGAACGCGCAATCATGACTAGGTGTAGACAGCCATTTTTTCAGATTAACACTGAAGGCATTACAGTCTGTATCAACACTGAAGTCTGCTGAAACATCAACAATCCCACTTCTTCCCAACTTGCTGTTATGCGTTATCTTACATCTGAAGAAAATGCTAGAGAAGTGGCTAACATCTCAAGTACTGAGAGTCCAAATTCCATCTCGTCACATGTTTTGTGAGACAAAAAGCAACGCTCCTGTATGAGACACGTTACATAACTTTTTTTTACTTAATTTACCTTATCAATTCTTATCACAGATTTCTCACTATCAGATGAATCCCTTCCCTGATCTCAGACTGGAAATTTTTGAGGAAAAATAATTTCACTACTTGTCCTGATAAAATTCTTACTACAATTCTCCAGAACAAAGACAACTCTTATTGCCTTTCCTTCTTCATCACAGCCTGGACATCACATGATATCAGTCTCATCAGCTTCAATGTATGTATGCTTGCTGCTCTGTTGTTACATACTGTCACATGCAGGGAGTACACGCGATGAATATAACAGGTTCTAGAGCAGATGACTGGGTTTATTAACATTTTCCTTTACAATCACTCTTAAGTGCAGCCAAGACAGCACTATCGCTGATGCATACAATTTTCAGTTCACTGTTACACACGCATTAGGATTCTCAGTCTTCACTAGCCATCTCCTGGTAATGGAACTAAAACAGTCTCACTGTGACTGAATCTTCTAATCACATACTAAGTCTTCAGAGGCCGACTTCTGATTTCTCTTCAACTTCAACTGAACTGCTGTGTGCCACTGTATTCCCATTCTCTTGGCTGAAGTAATCTAAGCTACAACAGATGCTCATTATATAGGCTCTGCACAGACCACACAGAAAACAGAGTTTTATCTATTGGACCATGTTTACGGAGCTGCTGTCTGGCAATGCGTTGATCAAATCCATTACAATATGTTAACAAGTAGTTACGAATATATGCGAAGTGACTGCCAGTGTTTGAATAACAAAGTAGGCCACGAAGACATATGACAGAGTGGAGGTACAGCTCCAGTCTTTCTTAACCTTCGACAGTAAATGGAGGTATTAAGCTTCATGCTGCCCCAGTTGCTGTATCCATGGGGAGAGAGCTCCAAGTAGCCATTAGTTAAAAGGCTGGTTGGGTCCGAGACAGTATGGATGCAGTGTAATCAAGAAAAATGTCTGTTTCTGCCAGGAATCAAAAGTGATTCTCCAATTATCCAGTCCACAGCCCACCCACTCTTCTCACTAAGCCATGGTTATAGTTAAATGTTTCACAACGAAAAATTATTTACTGCAAGTGTCAAATATTTATAGCATTTTGATTTCAGCAGTTTAAACCACATGTAAGCTAAATTTACACGGTGGCACGGAGCCATACTGTCGGTTTGAGATGAATGAATGGATACTTGCCAAATGTCCAAGAAACTTCTGGAGACGGTTTGCCAAGCACTACACACTCCAGTTTCAGCTTCTCTCCTTCCACCACAGTAACATCCTTCTGCATTCCTACGTGAAGCTTCACTGCAAACAGACACACGGGTACTAGGAAATCAAGGCTATCTGAATATAAACGAGCACTAGACCCTCACACAGATTTGGAACTACGTGCCAACTTACAAGTTCATTCCTCAATCATTTATGTGTTGCTCTTACTTAATACAAACCTGAATGATTTTTATCTCAAAATTTCACAGCAAGTAAAAAGCTACAGTACATTTCTGAGCGTACGTCATACCTTAGACAGACAATACTATGGAAGTAAACTCTTCCATGTTGAATGGGATCTCCAGTATGGCCAGCATGATTCTCATGGTATGTCGAAAATAGAATCTGGCAAATATCTAACAATGATTTAACAACGTGCATCACTATGTGAAAATGACACTCTCTCAAAGATTTTTTTTTGTTAAATTTGCATTTCAGAAACCAAATTAAAATCTGTCAGCTCTCCATCTTATAAAAAATTATTAAGGGTGGGTCAAAAGATTTGAAACTATAATAAAAGACCGAACTTCATGCAAACTGAAAAATCCGTTCCACTTACCAATTACTTCAATATCTCTCTTTCCAATTGTTTCATTTATTTTAGTGGATACTGCTTTACAAGTATAATTGCCCACATCTTCGTCCTGCGGGTCCAGTATGACAAGTCTGTTATTCTGTATGTTGATTCTGTTATCCTTCAGGGCTGTAATATTTACACCATTTTTGTACCATTCCATCCGTATATCACTTTCATTGGTGTTACATTGTATTTCCAGCGGCGTCTTGAAGATTATGGACTTGTACCTTGTTGAATCAGCATCATAGTTCACTGAGATGGAGTTCGCTGCAGGAAAATAAGACAACTGTACATAAACTGAGCTTCTCGCAGCCATAACTGGAGATGTGATACCATTGAGTTTGGTAGATAGATATCAACATTTCAGAGAAACATGCTGCTTCCATCTTCATGGTAGAACAAGCTTCATTTATTATACCATGAAGATGGAGAAAGGGGGTTCCTCCAAAATACTGGCGCTTACCTATCAAACTACAGTGTCAAGTCTTAAAGAAAGTAATATTATATTTTAGCATCCCGCTGCATTGAGGCATCATCCTTATTATCAAAGTAGATTATTGACAGATACTTTGATAATAAGGTCAAAGAAAGTCATTTTTAACATTATAATTGTGCAAAACCTTCACTTTGTTCAAAAATCTCTATTAGAATCCGTTGCAACACAACAAGACAGTCGAGGTCAATATTACCTTAGCTACATGTTTCGGCTTTTAAAGTCATCGTTTGGCAAATACATAGTTATTACACTCGCAAACTACTGAACTGCATTTCAATATGATGGTACAACAGTGATGGATACTTGAGAAATATGTTACACTATAATACAAAGTATATAAATACAATAAAATTATAAAAACGAAAGTTATACAATTAAAAATATGGTTAAAAACTATTCATGCAATATTTCATATTATGAGGTCTGTTGTTGCAATCGTATTGTCATATTCCAGCGGACATATAGTGGTATTATTCTTGCCTTGTACACATATGGAAGGGTTAACTAATTGGAAGCCCATGTTATTAGTGCAGTATTATTTAATATTTACTGTTTGACCAGTGCCTGATTTTACATGTATGTATGTATGTATGTGGATTCTGGTGGGAAGACTGATTGCAAGCTCAATTAACCTTGACCATTGTGTTGTTGTATTGCGATGGATTCTAATAAAGATTTCTGTATAATAAACACAACAGGATGCACTCTGGTTCTATATGGGTGTGAAACTTGGTCTCTGACATTAAGAGAGGAACAAAGGCTGAGGATGCTTCTGGTCAGTAATAATATGATCAGATGATTCTGGTTAAACAGTTCAGAGTTCTCCACAGTCCTGAATTTCCCAATAATCCTGAATATGGATACATTTCTGAAGTTTTAAACGTTCATCAACATGATTTCCACGCCATCACAATTCCTCAGACATATCAGAATAAAAATTTATATTACCATAGTTCTACTAACACTTTTATGAGAGTCAAAGCTGGGGGGGAGGAGCAAAGCAAAACAAACCCAGAATTACAGATGCCGAAATGAAATTCATGAGACAAACATTGAAACACATCTGGATGCACCATTAAAGGAATGAGACTGTATTAAAATGCATTTATTTACTTACTTTATTGAACAATGCTGTCAGACTGTACAGCATCAACTGACTGAACCATCACTACTAATCAACTTGAAAGGATGTGGTTATCACCTAGTATTGATGTGCCATAATGCATCCTGGTGTTTTGGCACCTCCCAATAAAAAACCAGTAACATTACCAATTGAGTCAAACTGTTTGGTGATGTATTAAAAGAACTAAAAACAAAACACTTCAAAAATATAAAGCCAAAACTACTGAACTTTTCCAGCTACATATTTTGCACCAAACAGCACTGTGCAGAATTTGAGGTTCTCACACTGGTGGCAACTGAAGTTTCAAGGGAACATACTGCCTCCATCTTCAGGGTCAAAGAATCTGCGAAGTAAGAAACCAGCATGAAAGTAGGTGGTTCTTCGACCCTGAAGACGGAGGCAGTATGTTCTTCTGAAACGTTGGTTGATTTCCAACAGAGTACACAGCGTTATATCCCAGAAGACATTGCTCTTCAGAACAGCATTATTTACCATCACAGAAATTAATACTGTTATGTCCACAGTTAAATATTCAGTTATTCAGTATAGAGGGGGTGGGTTTCCCCATGCACCACGACTAATAGTCTATTGTAGGTCCCCCTTTAATTTCTACTGCCGCCATACCCTACTGATACTGGTGCCTGCTATCTCCCCTTTCTGCCAGCGAGGTCGGCCCTCTACTGGCAGCGGTACCCGATAACTCTCCCCTTTCTGCCAGCGAGGTCAGCCCTCTACTAGCATTGGTACTCGATAACTTCCCCATCTACCAGAGACACTGGAAACTACTTGGGCAGGAAACTTTTTGCCTAATTTTGCTCAGAGGTCTCCTAGAGACATGAGGATCTTTTACGTGCCGTAAATCTACGACACGGGACCCATGGCTTAAAGTCCCTCCTGGAGGACTTGTTCCCTGAATTTTTCTGCCCTTAAAAATTCCGCGACCTCCTCTGGGTTTGAACCTGCGTACCTTGAGCCATGATGTGGGAACGTTACCCCTAGACTACGGAGGCCGCTTCCACAGTTAAATAACTTACTACGATATTTTTTAGAAAGTTTATATTTCTCCACATCTCAAAACTGGTGAACATTCATTAATTAAAAATGACACATTACCCGAAACCCTTACAGCACATTTTTTTCTTGTGGGCTATTTTACAACACAGTCAGTAGCTAGAAAATATAGTTTCAAACTATAGGGTGAACAGCAAATGAAAAATTGCAAGGAAGTGGCCATGACATAATCAAGGCACTATCCTAGCATTTACTTGGAGGCACTAAAGAATATTACCCCATTCCCATATGAAAAAACTCAGAACAGCTGGCATTACAATTGTGCCAACCTGCCTGGTTACAATACATTCAATTTTAAACAAATTACAAGGTAAATAACATCTAAAAGTTTATGACGATGGTAAATTGTTACAATTAATATGTTGTTGGACATTATCCATCATCTTGTCTGTTCTTAAAAAACCGCCATGTTTCTTTTATCTCCAGAGATAGGGGCTAGCTCTGTCTATTGGACCCAACTGAGTAGGTTTTACCTGAAGATGGGGACAGAATCCAGTCCCCGAAATGTTTTTTTTTTAAGAAACAGGACGGATTTTTAAGAACAGACAAGATCATGGATAATGTCCAACAGCATATTAATTGTAACAAATTACAATGTGTGGAACAACATGAATATCAAGTAGCGCATAGCTGTTGTGCATGTCTTTACGAGTCTATCACAAAAACAGTTTCAAAGGAAGTAAATCAGTGTCGTGACCCAAGATGATGGCGGGTCGACTGAATTATGTTGGCCGAGCGGTAGCGTAATAATTCAGCGATGGTGATGGTCAGTTGGCTGCTGGAGCGGGTATTCCAACCACAAAGAGCAAATACTCACTACAGATAATAGAGGTTTTATTGATTCTTAGTGTATATTACATACAAGCGCTGGTGGACTTAAGCCTGGCCAGCCTTCTCATAGCCCCAACCCAGACAAAATGCACCCTTCAACTTCCCTCTGTTTCTTAAAACCTCTCTAAAAACTAAACTTTCAGACCAATGTCCCGAGACATGAACCCTCACGCAGATCAGATTACACCAGCTGCTGGTGAAGGATAGGTCCCAGACGAAACACTCCAGGACCCCACTAATTTATGGAATGGCAAGGGTAGATATAACATTTTTTCTTTGAGGAAGCAGGTCAACCTCTTGGCGTGCTGTAAATTTAGTAGAGGGCATGACCCAAGACATCAGACTCAAGTTCCTAAAATTGAAAGAGGTTGAGAACATCGCAACATCAGTAGTGTCTTGGAATGTCATATTCAAGTGGTCAGAACTCCTGTTTCGTACTTGGGAAATCTCAAGTTTAATTTCAGTTCTAACACCAGATATCTTATCTACCAGAGTTTTCATGGTTTTCCTCGGTCCCTCCAGGCAAATATCAGGCTAGTACTTCAAATTAGGCTACATATGAATGTACGAACAAATGAATGGATAAGGGGTAGGCCTAGACCAGCCTTTGCACCGTGACCTTCTGTGATTTACTATGCATCCCCCTCTTTCACACTTTCAACAATCCTACACCACAGAGGCGTCTTGGTGATCACCTGGCTCCATAAAGCATTCATTATCATTTGATGCTACAATACAGTGCAAGCTACCGACAGAGTTAAATAAACCGTAAATAAATAAATAAATAAATAAAGTACTTGGTTCTCGAGACATGTGGCAGTGTAGTTGGTTGAGGCACTATGCTACAAGTGGGAAGGTCACAGGTTCAGTTCCTGATAATTTCAATTGACCTAATCCTTCCAGCCACACTACGGCCCTGGGATCAACTCAGCCTCTAAAAGAAACGAGTACCAGGAATCTTCCTGGGAGTAAAGAGCAGCTGGACATCACGTAAGGCTACAGGCCTCCATAGCCTGTTACATGAATACAAGTAACTGTACTTCTTTTTTGGTGCTGCTGCTCACAAGACCTATTATAATTTGAATTCAATTCCTGAAGTCATTAAATTGGAATCTCTTAATCTCTGAACTGTGTAAGTTTCATCTGAACTACTGTAACAGCTGATTTTAAACTAAACAACATTAACAGTTACTTACAATTTCTACTTAACATCAGAGTTAAACAGCAATGAGTCACTTATGAAACCATTTACACTGCAACATGCGTTGCTTGAAAGGTTAATAAATTTGAGATGGCAGCAGATGGAAGCATATGTACATGACACAAGGGCAGAAAAATGGTGTAGTTCTTAACAATTCATTCCTTTAAACAAGTACGATAAATCACATTATTGTTTAACTTAAGATAGGTCTGCTTTAACATCAAAGGAAAGAAAAGAACACAGTAACAAGCTGCTTGGTGTGAAATGTGTTTATTTTTCCTCCAATGTGGGACACCTGCATCCTGTTAATTTTATTATTAACAACTCCAAGCCTCTTGCTTTACTAGTCGACACTCAAGCGAACAAGTGGCTTTCATCAAACCTGCATGCACCGTACCCCCCTTTACCAGTGAAATAAATGTATTTATATTACTGCCCATGAAAAACTAATCTGTAATTAGTTCTGTACCAAAATTGCACGAAAAAAAATAATAAAATTTTGAATATGAAATCCTGCACAGCATTCTTTATCTGGTGATAATGCC